CATTCTACTTAATTAAGAGCTCTCCCTTCTCCCCTTATCTCTTTATTATCTGTTTGTTATTGATATGGTCTCATGGGTTTCTATTTTTTCCCCCATTGGTTTGTAATTCATTACTGTCCTTAATTATTTTGCTGTTCAAATTGTCCTTCAAGCTGACTCCTGTGTGACATGCCCCCGTTATTGTTTGAATATTTCCTTATTTTCTGGCATAACGAGATCTTGTACCTTCCATATTTCTCTCCAGAATGAACCTTTTCTTCAAGGAGCCATGGTTCCTTTTTGATATTATAGGACAAAACCTGGATGCTAGGTGTGCTCATCGCTTGGGGTATCTTTGCTTCTAGGCCTTGTTGGCCTAGGAAATGTATTCAGGTACACATACATGCACCTGTATGTGTATGTGTGTGTGTGTCCGTGTCCATGTATATGCTCACATACATATTTTAGAGATCATGAATTCACACTGATAACTCCAGTTTCAGTCCATTCTTACAGGTTCATCCTTGCCTCTCCCCATTATACATTTGTATCTCTTTTTCATAGTAAGAACTCTGTCTCCCAACAACATTTCTGCATTTCCTAATTTCCCTAGTCCTGTAATGCATCTGAAATGTTTCCCTTGCTTTGCCCATACTACTATAAAACCAAACTATAAAAAAATTGATGATATTTTTATTGTCTCCCCATGTTAATTTAATTTCATCTTTGAATATATAGAGTATTAATATGTTTTCAGAAGTCAAAACTGTACAAAAAATATTTTCAGAAGTGTCACTTCCTCTCAATTCCCACCCACTTCACTCTCCCCTCTCCTTTTAGATATTAAACTTTCTTGTTTTCCAGCATATCCTTCCTGTGTTTCTTTTTTAGATAAGCAGATATATTTTAAAGACAAGCAGATATATTTTCTTATCTCCTTGTATAAAAGTTAACATACTATTGATATATGTATTCTTTAGCACTTTATTCACTTAACTGTGTGCAAATGTATTTTCATTAAATTATCATTGGTTTTTGTTTGTTTGTTTTGCGGTACGCGGGCCTCTCACTGTTGTGGCCTCTCCCGTTGCGGAGCACAGGCTCTGGAGGCGCAGGCTCAGCGGCCATGGCTCACGGGCGAGCTGCTCTGCGGCATGTGGGACCTTCCCAGACCGGGGCACGAACCCGCGTCCCCTGCATTGGCAGGCGGACTGTCAACCACTGCGCCACCAGGGAAGCCCCTGTTTGTTTGTTTTTAAATGTGTGTATCTTACCTCCCATTCTAAAACTTAAATTTCTTCAAGGCTGGCTCTGTGCTTTATCAGTTCTTAAAATCCCAGCTTTGCCATCTTTTACTTTCTGTGTGGTCTTAAGCAAGTTGCTTAACCTCTCTGTGCCTCAGCTTCTCTGTCTGTCAGGTAGGGATAATGTAGGGTTCCTGTGAGGATTTAATGTGTTAATACACACAGAGCTCTTAAAAGTGCCTGGCCCATAGTAAATACTCACTGTTTATGGTCCTAAAGAAGCTAGCTCAGTATGTTATACATTTAGATGTTTGATAAACATATATACAATAAACCTTCATTTTGCTAGGTGCTAGGGAAACAGTAATGAAAGAGACATAGTTTCTCTGCTCAAATAGATCATCATAATAAATAAATTGTTTTAAAAAAGTAACCCCTTACCTATCTGGTAGTCCTAATCATTCTCTAAAAGCAATCTTTGTATTTATATTTTGGGTGTTGAGACTTAAGATGTAGAATGATTAAGGATCAGGGCCTGATTATTTCCAGCAATTTATATGAGAGTCTGTATGATGCAGGGGAAAAGCAGTGAAGCAAAAGTCTGAGAACACAGTTCTGATTCTTATTCTGACTCTCACATGTGATGTAGGCAAATCCCATTCGTTCTCCAGGCCTCATTTTTTTCAGCTGGAAAAAAAAATAAGTTGTTGGAGAAGCTAAGCTCAAAGGAGCTTTTTAATTCCGAAGTCTCTAGATCTCATCAGTGGGACGTTCCAGAATGAATTCTGGGTGTGGCTAGCATTGGTTTTGTTTTGTTTTGTTTGTTTTTTGTTTTTTTGTTTTTGCCGTACGTGGACCTCTCACTGTTGTGGCCTCTCCCGTTGTGGAGCACAGGCTCCGGACACTCAGGCTCAGCTGCCATGGCTCACGGGCCCAGCCGCTCCGCGGCACGTGGGATCCTCCCAGACCAGGGCACGAACCCGCCCCCCCTGAATCAGCAGGCAGACTCTCAACCACTGTGCCACCAGGGAAGGCCTTGGTTTGGTTATTTTTTATTTTACTTTATTTATTTATTTTTGGCTGCGTTGGGTCTTTGTCGCTGTGTGCAGGCTTTCTCTAGTTGCGGCGAGCAGGGGCTCATCTTCGTTGCAGTGTGTGAGCTTCTCATTGCAGTGGCTTCTCTTGTTATGGAGCACAGGCTCTAGGTCCGTGGGCTTCAGTAGTTGTGGCACGCAGGCTCAGTAGTTGTGGCTCATGGGCTGTAGAGTGCAGGCTCAGTAGTTGGGGCGCACGGGCTTAGTTGCTCCACATCATGTGTGATCTTCCCAGACCAGGGATCAAACCTGTGTCCCCTGCATTGGCAGGCAAATTCTTAACCATTGTACCACCAGGAAAGTCCCAAGCATTGGTATTTTTTGAAAGGGATGATAAATTACATTGAGTTGGCACAATAGATTATAATAACTTAATATATTTATTAGAGAGGTTATTTTGAGTATGTATTATGCCTACTAAAATATCTCCAAGTAAGTTAAATTTATAGTATCAGATTTCTTTTTGTTTTATGTGGCCTTATATCTCTCTATTTTTCTTCTTTTTTCCATCTCACATAAATCAATGTCTGTTTTTTGTCTGGGTTCATAGGTTCTGCTCTAGCTCATTCATGTTGTACCCTTGGGTGTAGCCCCACTTATTGATCCTTAAAGGCTCAGCCCCAATACTGTGTCTGTAATAAAGCCTGTGATTCTCTCAGTTTTCAGTTGGAATGACTCTCAACGTCTTCTCTGGATTCCTATTGCCTGGTTACAGCTCTGAACACATTCTGTGTATATAAAGTTACTCAAGTGGATGACTTAATTTAATGACAGTAAACATTTCATTAGAAACCAGGACTCTTCTCAGTTGCAAATGACAGAAACTCAAGTCAGACTGGCTTAAGAAAAAGGCACATATATTAGCTCACGAAACTAGAAAACTAAGGGGCAGCACTGGCTTCAGGCATGGCTCTCCACCCAGAAACTTGTCCCCTCTCCATCTCTTGACTCTGCTTTCTTCTGTTCATTCTTAGGGATGCTTTTCCACATGATGGTAAGATGATTACTGGCAGCTTCAGGAGACTTCTTCCAGTTGAGTTAACTCCAACAGAAAGAGGACTTCCCTTTCCCAGTAATTTTATGAGATGTCCTGAGGCTGATGCCCATTGACCTAGCTTGGGTCACTTTTCCATCCATGAACTAATTACTGTATACACAGGGGGATTAATTTCTTGGTAGCTAAACCTGAATCATTTGCCAACCCTTGGAGCCAGAGGATGAAAGTAACCCCATCCAAACCACATGAACTGAGAAAAATCTAGAACTTACTACCAAAAGAAAGGAGATATACATGCCAGCTAGGTAAAAACAGTAGATGTCTCTCAATGCTATAGGGAACATCTGGGTGCACTAATCCAAATAGGATACTACCACTGTTCTGTAATAATGTAGTTTATTTAGGAGATAACACATAGTTAATTCCAGTGTATTTTGGTAAGTACTAAGTTGAAGGTTTACTTAGGGGACTGTGGACGTACAGAAAAGGGTTGTTGAGGTGCCCAATCTCCTGGGATGCCTTTGAAAGTTACTTGGAGCAGACAGTGTTTGGGTGGAGGATTGAAAAAAAATTGAGTTGCCTTGATTTAGGGGGAAAAAAAAATGGAAATGACACTTTGGACTAAGGGAATACCATGAATGAAGAACAGGCATATTACAGGTCATTATTATCAGATCATAAAGTGGGAAGTGGGAAGAGATGAAGCTAGAGAAGTAGGTAGAGTAGGTCATGGGCACTTTTTAGATCATGTCAAAGAGCATGATCTAGTGGATGGAGAGCCATTGAAGAAAAGCAGAGTGATCAGCTATGGGCTTAGATAGATCACTGGTACCATTATGGAAGATGGATTTAAGAGGAGCCATATCAGAAGTAGGGAGACCAATCAGAGTGCTCTTGCCATAGAGTAGATTTGAACTTAAGTGGTGGTAATAGAGAGGAAGAGCAAAGTGGAGAAATACGTACAGTAAAATCAGACTATCTTGGTGATTGGAAAGGAAGAATCTAGGATGGCTTGTGTATGTTGGCTTGGATGACTGGTATATGGTGGTTCTTCTAAAGCTCAAGGGAATAACAGAGGATGAAAAATTTAGGGATAGGGAGAGAAAGATGATGAATTTAAATTTTGCACATGTTATATGTGAGGCAGATGCCTATAGGATATCTTGATGCGTATGTCCAGAAGGGAGTTGGAATATGTTGTTTTCAGAAGTTAGTGCTGGAAGTAAAGATTCAGGAGTCAGCAGCAGGTAGGGAATAGTTAAAATTACTGAAATAGGATCGATGGAGAGGGGAGGGAGTAGGGTGAGATAAGTAGAGAGCCAAGGATGCTATTTGGGACTAAGAAGGGGTATGGGGGACTTCCTAGAGTGATGGGAAAGTTCTGTATCCTGATCTGGGTCACAGTTACACAGGCATATACACATGTAACCTGTCATGCTCTGAAGATTTGCGCACTTTACTGTGTGTAAGGTACACCTCAGTTTAAAAAAAGCCAAAGGATTAGAGGGAATGTGTGGTCACAAATGTTAAGTGTTGTAAGGAGATCTAGTAAGTTAAGTACTGAAAAGCTAGATGGTATGTTTGTTTGGGTGAGAACAAGAACACTGACTTCCATGGTGCTAAAATATTCCTGGTGGGTGCACAGTAATCTTGGTGAGCTGAATCGAATTGCTGATGGACTGTACAGTCATCCCTTGATATCCTCAGAGGTATCCTGGTTCCAGGGCCCCCTGTTGATACCAAAATTGAGGGATACTCAAGTCCCTGATATAAAATGGTGTGGTATTTGCATATAACCTACATACATCGTCTGTTATATATTAAATCACCTCTTGATTGCTTATGATACCTAATACAGTGTAAATGCTGTGCAAATAGTTGTACATACAATGTAAATGCTATTTAAGTTGCCAGCACTTGGCAAATTTAGGTTTTGCTTTTTGGAACTTTTTGGATTTTTTTTTTTTTTCCGAATATTTTCAATCTGTGGTTGGCTGAATCTGAAGATGTGGAAGCTGTATAGATGGAGGGCCAACTATAATCTTTTTCTTATTTAGGCAAGAAATACAGCCTGTGAATGGATCAGGATATCTCTGGCCAAACCATTAGAAGAGAAGGAAGAAGGAAAAAAACAGTTGGAAGCAGAAAAAATTGAGCAAATCAATAACAATTCAATAGAGGTAATGAAAACAGCTAAGGCTTTTTTTTTTTTCAATGTGGTATCACAATTAGGGACGTAAGCACCTATTTTGTTGTACTGCTATCCATAATTTCTACCTTGTGATCCAAGATCACAACATCTTAGTTCTAGAATATAGGATGCAAGGAGTGAAGAAAAAGAGACAAAGGGTGCATGTATGTGGCATCATGAGAAGGTTCCCAGAAGCTGCACATGACACTTTTTATTCAAATCTTTTGGCTAAAACTTAGTCACATGGTCACACCTGACTTCAAGGGAGCCTCTGTTTTTATAGCTATGAGCCCAGTTATAAAATTATATAACTACTATGGAAGAAGAGGTTTATTGAAGGGCAGCTATTAGTCTCTGTTGCTTTCAAGATATTGTATACTTCAGTATGGGGGAAGCAGGGTGGTGTCATTTCCTCTTGTATTAAAAAAAACAATGCTCAGTGTTGTTTTGCTTCGTTTTGTTTTTCCGTCCAGGATATCCATGCATTTGCAATCAGGAGCCTAGCAGAACTGACTGCCTGCTCAATTGAACTGTTTCACAAAACAGCGGCTCTGGTTCTGCATGGCAGGAAGCAGGAAGTAACAGCCATAGAAAGGAGCAGAGCCCTTTCCCAGTAAGTGTAATGAATTTCCCTCTAAATGATACAGTTTGCTGAAAGAGCTTTCTCAGTTTCTTTCCAAAGTTTTAGAAACTTTCAGTAAGATGCTGTTCACATTGCACCATTCACATCTTGGAGGTTTGTTCATTTTGGGTTTTAGTTAATAAGTAGCCAAGGGTGTTGTTTATTTTCATTGAGCCATAAATCTATATTATAAATCTGCCCTTTTTTATTAACCAACTCATACTCGGAAAGCTAGTTTTTTTTTCCAGATCACTGACCGTAATTGAAGTAGAATTTTGCATAAGTGAAAACAGAAAATAGTTCTAATAACCTCAGTTCTTAATAACAGTTGTTGGTTATTGAGTGCTAATTATATGCCAGGTACCATGCTAAGGGATTTATGTGTATCACTTCTAATCTTTAAAAACAACCCTCAAGATAAATGATCAGTCCAGCTTTAAAAATGAGGAAACACAAACATAAGAGAAGTTAAGTAAATTATGCCCAGATTGTGCAGACTGGGATTTAAACAGGTCTATCTAAGTTTCAAACCCTATTTTTCCAGTATATTGCTGGTTTTGAACAAAAATTTGAAAAATGATAGAATGTAGGTAGTCACAGGAGGAAAAAAACTCCTACTGTTTTCTAAATAAATCTCCAAATTAAATAATGAGAACTTTCATTGGAGGAAAAAACATGAGTGAGAGTGTCTAGTGTGTTAGGATTGGAAGGGACCCTTGATGTTCTCTCGGCCATTTCTTCACCTACGGCTTCACTGCCCCTCTACAACATCCCGTAAGGAGGGGCCTAGTTTTGTCTTAAACATCCTTAGGATGAGGGATTCACAATCCCAAAGCAGAGTATTCTTTGGAAAACTAGCTATTTCCACTGCATGGAATGCTCTTCCAGTCATGGCTCTTTCCTTCACTGAATTTCCTTTACTTCTTAGAGGGTCCTTTTTTCACCACCCTATCTAATACTATCTTCTACCATTTTCTCATTCTGTTTTTCTTTTCTCTAACTCTAATTCACTATTACATTGATCAGTTTAACCTCCTCAAGGGTAGGATTTTTATTTTGTTTTATTTTTAAATTTATTTTTTAATAAAAACAGTCTTATAAAATTTTTGAAGGTTACCTTCCATTCACAGTTATTACAAAATATTGGTTATATTCCCCATCCGTGAGCTTGTCTTACACCCAGTAGTTTGTACCTCCCACTTCCCCACCCCTACATTGCCCCTCCCTCCCTCTCCCCACTGGTAACCACTAGTTTGTTCTCCATATCTGTGAGTCTGCTTCTTTTGTGGTATACTCACTAGTTTGTTGTATTTTTTAGATTCCTCATATAAGTGATTTCATACAGTATTTGTCTTTCTCTGTCTGACTTATTTCACTTAGCATAAATGCCCTCCAAGTCCATCCATGTTGCTGCAGATGGCAAAATCTTGTTCTCTTTTATGGCTGAGTAGTATTCCATTGTATATATGTACCACATCTTCTTTATCCATTCATCTGTTGATGGGCACTTAGGTTAATTCCACATCTTGGCGACTGTGAATAATGCTGCTATGAACATTGGAGCGCATGTATCTTTTCGAATTAGTGTTTTTATTTTTTTGATATATACCCAGGAGTGGAATTCCTGGGTCATATGGTAGTTCTATTTTTAGTTTCTTGAGAAACCTCCATACTACTTTTCACAGTGGCTGCACCAATTTACATTCCCACCAACAGTGTACAAGGGTTCCCTTTTTTCCATATCCTCACCAACATTTGTTATTTGTGTTCTTTTTGTTGATAGCCATTCTGACAGGTGTGAGATGATATCTCATTGTGTGTGGTTTTTGTTTGTTTTTTAAATTTTTATTGGTGTATAGTTGATTTACAGTGTTGTGCTAGTTTCAGCTGTACGGCAAAGTAAATCAGTTATACATATACATACATCCATTCTTTTTTTTGGAGATTCTTTTCCCATGTAGGCTATTGCAGAGTATTGAGTAGAGTTCCCTGTGCTATACAGCAGGTTATTATTAGTTATCTATTTTATATATAGTAGTGTGTATTCACCAGTCCCAACCTCCCAGTTTACTGCTCCACCCCCCCACCCCCACTCCACATCCCCTGGTAACCATAAGTTTGTTTTCTACATACATGAGTCTACTTCTGTTTTGTAAATAAGTTCATTTATACTCTTTTTTTTTAAGATTCCACATATAAGCGATATTATATGATATTTGTCATTCTGTGTCTGACTTACTTCACTCAGTATGACAATCTGTAGGTCCATCCATGTTGCTGCCTCATGTGGCTTTGATTTGCATTTCCCTGTTACATTTTCGAATTCTTTACTTGCTTTCATATCACCATCTAGTACATATTATATATATAAATATATGTATACTTTTGTGTGTGTATAAATGTATACATATATAACTATAAACATATACAAACATCCATCTCTTTCTATATTTATAGTATCCCTGTCAATCAGCAAGTAAGTTAGTATTCATGAAAACTGGTGCTTTGCTTGTTTACTAATATATCCCCAGTGCTCAGAAGTACCTGGTACATAGAAGCCTTTCAGTAAGTATTTGTCGAATGAATAAATAAATATTTAATTTAACTATATTTCTAAATGGAATGTAGGATCTTTTAAGTACGACCTTGTCTCCTTAAAATGTATCTTAGTTATTTCCTTTGATTTAATTTGAAAGCATAGTATTTTCTAGAGAATTTTGTAGAAAAATATTTCACTAAGGACTGAACTTTCTCTTCCTATAACATGGGACCCCATATATGTAGTTGAACATATATGGGGACCTAGGACCTGTTTCTCCTTTTTTCCCTTCTTTCCTAGGATGACAGTTGTGTTGTGTAAAGAGTTGTCCTCTCTGTCTAAAGAGTTCACCACCTGCCTAACAACTGCTGGGGTAAGAATTCATGATTTTTATTGGGCTAATGTCTGTTTTGTTTTGTTTTTAGAACAGCTTTATTAAGATATAGTTTACATATCATAAAAATTTTCCCATTTAAGTGTACGTTTCAATGGTTTTTAATATATTTACAGAGCCATGCAACATTCACCAAAATCTAATTTTAGATCATTTTCATCATCTCCCAGAAAACCTCATACCATTGGCAGTCACTTACCATTCCCTTCCCCTCCACATTCTTCTAGCCTTAAGCAGCACTAATCTACTTTCTGTCTATAGATTTGCCTATTCTGGACATCTAATATAAATGGGATCATACAATATTATGGTATTTTGTGTCTGTTTTCTTTCACTTAGCATAATGTTTTTGACATTCATCCACATTGTATCAGTATTTCCTTTTATTACCTAATAACATTCTATCATATGGATATATACCACATTTATCTATTCATCAGTTGATAGACATTTGGATTGTTTACTCTTCTTGGTTATAATGAATAATGTTACTATGAGCATGCATGTATGTCTTTATTTCTCTTGGGTGGATAGCTAGGAGTGGAATTTCTGGGTCATATGGGTAATATGGACCATTAAGGAACTGTCAGACTGTTTTCCAAAGTAGTTGCACCATTTTACACCCCTGCCAGCAATGTATGAGAGTTCCAGTTTCTCCACATCCTTGTTGACACTTGCTATTGTCTGGTTTTGTGTTTTTGTTTTTTAAAATTTTACCAGACCTAGTAGGTATGAAGTGTTATCTCATTATGGGTTTTATTTGCATTTCCCTGTTGGCTGATGATGTTGAGCATCTTTTCATGTGCTTGTTAGCCATTTGTATGTCTTCTATAGAGAAATGTCTTTTCCAGTCCTTTGCCTATTTTTAAATTGGGTTGTCTTTTTATTATTATTTTATAAATTGGGTTGTTTATTTTATTATTTATTCTGATTTTAATTATTTGTCTTTTTATTATTTACTATTTATTATTGAGTTATAGAAGTTCTTTATTTTCTCTGGATACAAGTTCCTTACCAGATACATGATATGCACATATTTTCTCCCAGTCCATGGCGGTCCTTTCACTTTCTTGATAGTGAATAGTGATAGAGTCCAACTTGTCAATATTCTCTTTTATCACTTGTTCTTTTGGTATTGTATCTAAAGAATCATTGCCTCACCCCAAATCATGAGGATTTACTCATGTTTTTTTCTAAGAGTTTTATGTTGCAGCTCTTATGTTTATGTCTATTATATATTTTGAGTTAATTTTTGTGTATGGTGTGAGGTAGGGGCCCAACATTTTTTTTTTTCATGTGGATATCCAGTTGTCCCAGCACCATTTGTTGAAAAGTTTCTCCTTGTTGAATTGTCTTGGCCCTTTTTGTCTAAAATCAATTGACCATAGTCATAGGGATTTGTTTCTGGGCTCTTATTTCAGTTCCATTGATCTGTGGTATCCTTTGCCAGCGCCATACTGTCTTGATTTCTGTAGCTTTGTAGTAAGTTTTGAAATCAAGAAGTGTAAGTCTTCCAACTTTCTTCTTCTTTTTCAAGATTTTTTTGTCTATTTGGGGCCCTATGCATTTCCATATGAATTTTAGGGTCAGTTTGTCTGTGTCTAACTGAATTTTGCAACTCGTTGTTCTTTTTTATACAGTCTTCAGTATATTTTGTGCTGCTTGCTATCAAGACCTGTACTGAGAATATAGACCTTGATAAGATAAAAATCCCAAAGTTGGATTCTAGTTTTAAGGGGCAGTGCCTTACTTAGACTATGGCAACTCTCATATTTTGCAGTTGCCAGCCAGTAGGAGAGTTGTAATTAAAGCTGAAGTTTTTTTGTTTTGTTTTAAGGAATTGTAAAAATTTACTGAAGGTGTGTGAACTATGGAAGACGATTCAGACATCAGTAACCATGAATTGGCATAAAATCAAGGGCATTTTAAATGGACAGATAAAAATCACTTTGTAGTACACCAAACTCATACATACAGAGAACAGATAGGTGGTTGCCAGAGGCAAAGGTGGGGGCTGGGTGAAATGGGTGAAGGGGATCAAAAGGTACAAACTTCCAGTTATAAAATAAATAATGTACAGCATGTACAGCATTGGGGATGTCATGTGCGGCATGATACCTATAGTTAATAATACTGTATTGCATATTTGGAAGTTGCTAAGAGAGTAGATCTTAAAAGTTGTCATCACGAGAAAAAAAATTATTTCACTGTGTATAGTGATGGATGTTGACTGGGCTTATTATCATCATTTTGCCATGTATGCAGATAGCAAATCATTAGTTTGTACGTATGCAATTAGTATAGTGTTGTATGTCAGTTATACCTCAATTTAAAAAAATCAGCCTGTAGTTAAGGGTGTAAGGGTCAGTGTGGCAGCAAAGTTATTCTGGGCCCTTAAATTTATTTTAGTTAAGAGCATGGTCCAAATAAATTCTTCTCACTTTGAGTTTAGATTTTTCCTATAAGGGATAATTCTGTGATATAGTTTCTCTTTTCCTCTTAGTATTTTCTTTAAAAGAGCTTCTGGGTTTCCTGAAGTTAATCTTCTGAGGCTAAAGTTTTCCATGTGTTTCATAAAGATACTTTAACCCAGCAAGACAACTCTAAGGTGCTAACACATGCAAGTATTAACTTTGCATTATTTGTCTCCACATTTTCCAAACAGCCCATCTTAAAAACGAGTTGAGTATTTTGAGTGCATGTTTCATATCTGTATATTTTGTTTTAAATTTTTTCTAAAGTTTTTGTGGTCAAATATACCATTTCTATCTCCCTTCCAAAATGAATATACTTTTTAAAGTTAGTAAAAACTACAAAGGCAGGGCTTCCCTGGTGGCGCAGTGGTTGAGAGTCCGCCTACCGATGCAGGGGACACAGGTTCGTGCCCCGGTCTGGAAAGATCCCACATGCCGCGGAGCGGCTGGGCCCGTGAGCCATGGCCGCTGAACAGGCACGTCCGGAGCCTATGCTCCACAATGGGAGAGGCCACAACGGTGAGAGACCCGCGTACCACACACACAAAAAAAAAACAAAAAAAAACTACAAAGGCATACACTCTCAATTTGGATAGAAGGAAATTTAAAGCCCTTCTTGAGTCTGATCCAGACTTTGTCTATGCTTATATTTATATTTGGGTATGTGTGGGTGTGTTTCAAAGCGGAATCATACTTTATTTATTTTTGAATTCTATTTAACTTAATTTTTTATACAGCAGCTTCTTATTAATTATCCATTTTATACATATTAGTGTATATATGTCAATCCCAATCTCCCAGTTCATCACACCACCACCACCCCCCCACACCGCGTCTTTCCCCCCTTGGTGTCCATACATTTGTTCTCTACATCTGTATCTCAATTTCTGCCCTACAAACTGGTTCATCTGTACCATTTTTCTAGGTTCCACATATATGCGTTAATATACGATATTTGTTTTTCTCTTCCTGACTTACTTCACTCTGTATGACAGTCTCTAGATTCATCCACATCTCTACAAATGACCCAATTTCATTCCTTTTTATGGCTGAGTATTATTCCATTGTATATATATATGCCATATCTTCATTATCCATTTGTCTGTCGATGGGCATTCAGGTTGCTTCCATGACATGGCTATTGTAAATACTGCTGCAGTGAACATTGGGGTGCATGACTCTTTTTGAATTATGGTTTTCTCTGGGTATATCCCCAGTAGTGGAATTGCTGTGTCATATGGTAATTCTATTTTTAGTTTTTTAAGGAACCTCCATCCTGTTCTGCATAGTGGCTGTATCAATTTACACTCCCACCAACAGAGGTTCCCTTTTCTCCACATCCTCTAGCATGTGTTGTTTGTAGATTTTCTGATGATGCCCATTCTGACTGTTGTGAGGTGATACATCATTGTAGTTTTGATTTGCATTTCTCTAATAATCAGTGATATTGACAGCTTTTCATGTGCTTCTTCGCTATTTGTATGTCTTCTTTGGAGAAATGTCTATTTAGGTCTTCTGCCCATTTTTGGATTGGGTTGTTGTTTTTTTAATATTGACCTACATGAGCTGTTTATATATTTGGGAGATTAATCCTTTGTCCATTGAATCATTTGCAAATATTTTCTCCCATTCTGAGGGCTGTCTTTTCGTCTTGTTTGTAGTTTTCTTTGCAAAAGCTTTGAAGTTTCATTAGGTCCCATTTGTTTATTTTTGTTTTTATTTCCATTACTCTAGGAGGTGGATCAAAAAAGATCTTGCTGTGATCTACATCAAAGAGTGTTCTTCCTATGTTTTCCTCTAAGAGTTTTATAGTGTCTGGTCTTACATTTAGGTCTCTAATCCATTTTGAGTTTATTTTTATGTATGGTGTTAGGGAGTGTTCTAATTTCATTCTTTTACATGTAGCTGTCCAGTTTTCCCACCACCACTTATTGAAGAGACTGTCTTTTCTCCATTGTATATCCTTGCCTCCTTTGTCATAGATTAGTTGACCATAGGTGCATGGGTTTATCTCTGGGCTTTCTATCCTGTTCCGTTGATCTATATTTCTGTTTTTGTGTCAGTACCATATAGTCTTGATTACTGTAGCTTTGTAGTATAGTCTGAAGTCAGGGAGTCTGATTCCCCCAGCTCAGATTTTTTTCCCTCAAGAGTGCTTTAGCTATTCAGGGTCTTTTGTTTCTCCATACAAATTTTAAGATTTTTTGTTCTACTTCTGTAAAAAATGCCATTGCTAATTTGATAGGGATTACATTGAATCTGTAGATTGCTGTGGGTAGTATAGTCATTTTCAAAATGTTGATACTTCCAATCCAAGAACATGGTATATCTCTCGATCTGTTTGTATTATCTTTAATTTCTTTCATCAGTGTCTTATAGTTTTCTGCACACAGGTCTTGTGTCTCCCTAGGTAGGTTTATTCCTAGGTATTTTATTCTTTCTGTTGCAGTGGTAAATGGGAGTGTTTCCTTAATTTTCTTTCAGATTTTTCATCATTAGTGTATAGAAATGCAAGAGATTTCTGTGCATTAATTTTGTATCCTGCAACTTTACCAAATTGATTGATTTGCTCTAATAGTTTTCTGGTGGCATCTTTTGGATTCTCTATGTATAGTATCACATCATCTGCAAACAGTGACAGTTTTACTTCTTCTTTTCCAATTTATATTCCTTTTATTTCGTTTTCTTCTCTGATTGCCGTGGCTAGGACTTCCAAAACTATGTTGAATAATAGTGGTGAGTGTGGACATTCTTGTCTTCTTCCTGATCTTAGAGGAAATGCTTTCAGTTTTTCACCATTGAGAATGATGTTTGCTGTTGGTTTGTCATATATGGCCTTTATTATGTTGAGGTAGTTTCTCTCTATGCACACTTTCTGGAGAGCTTTTGTCATAAATGGGTGTTGAATTTTGTGGAAAGCTTTTCCTACATCTATTGAGATGATCATATGGTTTTTATTCTTCAGTTTGTTAATATAGTGTATTGCATTGATCTGTTTGCATATATTGAAGAATCCTTGCATCCCTGGGATAAATCCCACTTGATCATGGTGTATGATATTTTTAATGTGTTGTTGGATTCTGTTTACAAGTATTTTGTTGAGGATTTTTGCAACTATATTCATCAGTGATATTGGTCTGTAATTTTCTTGTTTTGTAGTATCTTTGTCTGGTTTTGATATCAGGGTGATGGTGGCCTCATAGAATGAGTTTGGGAGTGTTCCTTCCTCTGAAATTTTTTGGAATAATTTGAGAAGGATGAGTGGTAGCTCTTCTCTAAATGTTTGATAGAATTCAACTGTGAAGCCATCTGGTCCTGGATGTTTTTTGTTGGAAGATTTTTAATCACAGTTTCAATTTCATTATTTGTGATTGGTCTGTTCATATTTTCTGTTTCCTCCTGGTTCAGTCTTGGAAGGTTATACCTTTCTAAGAATTTGTCCATTTCTTCCAGGTTGTCCATTTTATTGGCATAGAGTTGCTTGTAGAAGTCTCTTAGGGTGCTTTGTATTTTTGCGGTGTCTGTTGTAACTTCTCCTTTTTCATTTCTAATTTTATTGATTTGAGTCCTCTCCCTCTTTTTCTTGATGAGTCTGGCTAATGTTTATCAATTTTGTTTATCTTCTCAAAGAACCGGCTTTTAGTTTTATTGATCTTTGCTATTGTTTTCTTTGTTTCTATTTCATTTATTTCTGCACTGATCTTTATGATTTCTTTCCTTCTGTTAACTTTGGGTTATGTTTGTTCTTCTTTCTCTAGTTCCTTTAGGTGTAAGGTTAGATTATTTACTTGAGATTTTTCTTGTTTCTTGAGGCTTGTATTGCTGTAAACTTCCCTCTTAGAACTACTTTTGCTGCATCCTATAGGTTTTGGATTGTCATGTTTTCATTGTCATTTGTCTCTAGGTATTTTTTGATTTCCTCCTTGATTTCTCCAGTGATCTCTTGGTTATTTAGTAATGTATTGTTCAGCCTCCGTGTGTTTGTGTTTTTTACGTTTTTTTCCCTGTTATTGATTTCTAATCTCATAGCATTGTGGTCAGAAAAGATGCTTGATATGATTTCAATTTTCTTAAATTTACTGAGGCTTGATTTCTGACCCAAGATGTGATCTATCCTGGAGAATGTTCCGTGCGCACTTGAGAAGAAAGTGTAATCTGCTGTTTTAGGAATGAATGTCCTATAAATATCAATTAAATCTGTTTGGTCTCTTGTATCATTTAAAACTTGTTTTTCCTTATTAATTTTCTGTTAGGATGATCTGTCCATTGGTGTAAGTGAGGTGTTAAAAGTCCCCCACTATTACTGTGTTACTGTTGATTTCCTCTTTTATAGCTGTTAGAAGTTGCGTTATGTATTGAGGTGCTCCTATGTTGGGTGCATATATATTTATAATTGTTATATCTTCTTCTTGGATTGATCCCTTGATCATTATGTAGTGTCCTTCCTTGTCTCTTGTAACATTCTTTATTTTAAAGTCTATTTTATCTGATATGAGTATCGCTACTCCAGCTTTCTTTTGATTTCCATTTGCACGGAATATCTTTTTCCTTCCCCTCACTTTAGGTCTGTATGTGTCCCTAGGTCTGAAGTGGGTCTCTTGTAGACAGCATATACATGGGTTTTGTTTTTGTATCCATTCAGTGAGCCTGTGTCTTTTGGTTGGAGCATTTAATCCATTCACACATTTAAGGTAATTATCAATATGTATGTTCCTGTTACCATTTTCTTAATTGTTTTGGGTTTGTTTTTGTAGGTCCTTTTCTTCTCTTGTGTTTCCCACTTAGAGAAGTTCCTTTAGCGTTTGTTGCAGAGCTGGTTTGATGATGCTGAATTTTCTTAGCTTTTGCTTGTCTGTTAAGCTTTTGATTTCTCCATCGATTCTGAATGAGATCTTTGCCGGGTAGAGTAATCTTGGTTGTATGTTCTTCCCTTTCATCACTTTCAATATCTCATGCCACTCCCTTCTGGCTTGTAGAGTTTCTGCTGAGAAATCAGCTGTTAACCTTATGGGAGTTCCCTTGTGTGTTGTCATTTTTCCCTTACTGCTTTCAATAATTTTTCTTTGTCTTTATTTTTTCGCCCATTTGATTACTATGTGTCTCGGCGTGTTTCTTCTTGGATTTATCCTGTGTGGGACTCTCTGCGTTTCCTGGACTTGGGTGGCTATTTCCTTTCCCATGTTAGGGAAGTTTTCAACTATAATCTCTTAAAATATTTTCTTGGGTCCTTTCTCTCTCTCTTCTCCTTCTGGGACCCCTTTAATGTGAGTGTTGTTGCTTTTAATGTTGTCTCAGAGGTCTCTTAGGCTGTGTTCATTCCTTTTCATTCTTTTTTTTTTTATTCTGTTCTGCAGCAGTGAATTCCACCATTCTGTCTTCCTGGTCACTTACTCGTTCTTCTGCCTCAGTTATTCTGCCATTGATTCCTTCTGGTGTATTTTTCATTTCAGTTATCATATTGTTCATCTCTGTTTGTTTGTTCTTTAATTCTTCTAGGTCTTTGTTAAACATTTCTTGCATCTTCTGTATCTTTGCCTCCATTCTTTTTCCAAGGTCCTGGATCATCTTCACTATCATTATTCTGAATGTTTTTTCTGGAAGGTTGCCTATCTCCACTTCATTTAGTTGTTCTTCTGGGGTTTTATCTTGTTCCTTCATCTGGTACATAGCCCTCTGACTTTTCATCTTTTCTGTCTTTCTGTGAATATGGTTTTTGTTCCACAGGCTGCAGGATGGTAGTTCTTCTTGCTTCTGCTGTCTGCCCTCTGGTGGATGAGGCTATCTAAGAGGCTTGTGCAAGTTTCCTGATGGGAGGGACTGGTGGTGGGTAGAGCTGGCTGTTGCTCTGTTGGGCGGAGCTCAGTAAAACTTGCATCCACTTGTCTCCTGATGGGTGGGGCTGGGTTCCCTCCCTGTTGGTTGTTTGGCCTGAGGTGACCCAACACTGGAGCCTACCTGGGCTCTTTGGTGGGGCTAATGGCGGGTTCTGGGAGGGCTCACGGCAAGGAGTACTTCCCAGAACTTCTGCTGCCAGTGTCTTTGTCCTCACAGTGAGACACAGCCAGCCCCATCTCTGCAGGAGACCCTCCAATGCTAGCAGGTAGGTCTGGTTCAGTCTCCTATGGGGTCACTGCTCCTTCCCCTGGGTCCTGATGCACACACTACTTTGTGTCTGCCCTCCAGGAGTGGAGTCTCTGTTTCCCCCAGTTCTGTTGAAGTCCTGCAATCAAATCCTGCTAGCCTTCAATGTGTGATTCTCTAGGAATTCCTCTTCCCATTGCTGGACTCCCAGGTTGGGAAGCCTGACGTGAGGCTCAGAACCTTCACTCCAGTGGGTGGACTTCTGTGGTTACATGTTCTCTGGTTTGTGAGTCACCCACCCAGCAGTTATGGGATTTGATTTTATTGTGATGCGCCCCTCCTACTGTCTCACTGTGGCCTCTCCTTTGTCTTTGGATGTAGGGTATCTTTTTTTGGTGAGTTCCAGTGTCTTCCTGTCAATGATTGTTCAGGAGTTAGTTGTGATTCCGGTGCTCTCACAAGAGGGAGTGAGAGCATGTTTTTCTTCGCCATCTTGAACCAATCATCATATTTTACCTATTGTTTTTTTAATGTGCTATGCTCGCTTAACACATTATCCTTTGTTCTAGGTCAAGGAAAAGGCAGACGTCCTTAATCCGTTAATCACTGCAGTATTTCTAGAGGTTAGTAGTACTAATTGTTTTTTAAGTCTCTAACTTCTAGGGCATTATGTATTAATAACTCTTTAAGTTTTCATTTTTTGTTTTTTTCACTAGTTTAGCGTGTTGATGCAGATATGACCAAAATGGTGTATATTTTATCATATTTCCTGTTCATTAATTATAAACAATAAAGATGAAGGTGCCAAATAAAGTGCAGTGGAAGAAGCAGTAGGCTGTCATTACTTAGTACTACCCCTTTGTAATTACTGGACAATTCTCATTAATGAAACATCTTTTGGAGACTAGCTAGTAAACATGATGTGCTGAAAATTACAAATAGGCTAGCACTGCTCCTTAAAGGAGTAAGGTTTATGCAGAGGAGATTAGTTACAAAACAAAACAAAAGAAAACAAAACATTTTGTCATTTTCTTGCCCAGAAATTTGCTTTATTATGTCAAAAAGCTACCTGTGTTTACATAATCCGTGTCAGTTCGTTAGATTTAAGAAGGTAGGTGGTTTAAGTACATGGATGGATTATATTGCTGCCATGTATGATGCTTTCTGGATTCCACGATTTAAGAACTCTATCTTAGGACTTCCTTGGTGGTGCAGTGGTTAAGAATCCACCTGCCAATGCAGGGGACACAGGTCTGAGCCCTGCTCCAATGCAGGGGACATGGGTTCGAGCCCTGGTCCGGGAAGCAGATCAACTAATAAGCCCGTGCACCACAATTACTGAGCTGTGCTCTAGAGCCTGCAGGCCACAACTACTGAGCCTGTGTGCCACAACTGCTGAAGCCTGCATGCCTAGAACCCATGTTACACAACAAGAAAAGCCACCGCAATGAGAAGCCCGCACACCGCAATGAAGAGTAGCCCCTGCTCGCCGCAACTAGAGAAAGCCCGCGTGCAGCAATGAAGGCCCAACGCAGCCATAAATAAATAAATAAACTTATTTTAATAAAAAGAGAAAACCACAGAAGGCAGAAAAAGTGAAAGATTAAAAAAAAAAGAACTCTATCTTGTAAATTAATTGTGCAGAAATTTAGATGTTTGATGATTTGTTTAAAACATATTTATCTAAGTCTGAGGGGAGAAAATATATTTGATAATCAGTTAGGTTTTAAATATGAATTGAAAAAAAAATTTTTGCCACCAGAGTGTTACTTCTTTAGTTTTAGATTCTTTTAAAATTACCGGTGAAGAAATGCCTTTCATTCCTTAACTGCATAGTTTTCCTTTAATAGTCAGGGAAATTATTCTGATCACTTAAGCAATTAAAAAAAATAAGTTTATGATTTAGTAGATGGCAGAGTGGTAGAGATGAAAGAAGTTTGCAAACCAGGAGCCCAGTGCTGTCCTAGGTCTCCCCTGATTTGCACTATGACCATGGACCAGGGGTTTACCTTCTTGGCAATCTTGTTATCTTTATATACAAAATAAGATATTTAACTAGGGGGGCGGTGGAAAGATGGCGGAGGAGTAAGACGCGGAGATCACCTTCCTCCCCACAAATACACCAGAAATACATCTACATGTGGAACAACTCCTACAGAACACCTACTGAATGCTGGCAGAAGACCTCAGACCTCCCAAAAGGCAAGAAACTCCCCACGTACCTGGGTAGGGCAAAAGAAAAAATTAATTAAAAACAGAGACAATAGAATAGGGACGGCACCTGCACCAGTGGGAGGGAGCTGTGAAGGAGGAAAGGTCTCCACACACTAGGAAGCCCCTTCGCGGGCAGAGATTGCGTGAGGCGGAGTGGGGAGCTTCGGAGCCGCGGAGGACAGCACAGCAACAGGGGTGCGGAGGGCAAAGCGGAGAGATTCCCGCACAGAGGATCGGTGCCGACCGGCACTCACCAGCCCGAGAGGCTTGTGTGCTCACCCGCAGTGGTGGGCGGGGCTGCGAGCTGAGGCTCGGTTTCGGTTTCAGTCGGAGCTCAGGGAGAGGACTGGGGTTGGCGGCGTGAGCACAGCCCGCAGGGGTTAGTGCGCCACGGCTAGCCGGGAGGGAGTCAGGGGAAA